AGAGAGAGACCAGAGAGCAAGACCAGAGAGAGACCAGAGAGAGACCCGGGAGAGAGAACAGAGAGAGACCAGAGAAAGAGGCCTCTGAGAGACCCGAGAGAGAGAGGCCAGAGAGAGAGGCCAGAGAGAGAGACCAGAGAGAGAAACCAGAGAGAGACCAGAGAGAGACCAGTGAGAGACCGGAGAGAGACCAGAGAGAGACCAGAGAGAGACCAGAGAGAGAGACCAGAGAGAGACCCGAGAGAGACGAGAGAGAGACCAGAGAGAGAGACAAGAGAGAGAGACAAGAGAGAGAGACAAGAGAGAGAGACCAGAGAGAGAGGCCAGAGAGAGACCCGAGAGAGAGAGACCAGAGAGCGAGACCAGAGAGCGAGACCAGAGAGCAAGACCAGAGAGCAAGACCATAGAGCAAGACCAGAGAGCGAGACCAGAGAGCGAGACCAGAGAGAGAGACCAGAGAGAGACCAGAGAGAGAGATCAGAGAGAGAGACCAGAGAGAGAGACCAGAGAGAGATCAGAGAGAGACCCGGGAGAGAGAACAGAGAGAGAGACAAGAGAGAGAGACCCGAGAGGGAGACCAGAGTGAGACCAGAGAGAGACCAGAGAGAGACCCGGGAGAGAGAACAGAGAGAGACCAGAGGGAGATATCAAACCCCAAACCAGACCAGACCAGACCAGATCAGAGCTAGGGGCCTGAGAGCAGCGGCTAATCACCAGCTTCCTGCCATCGCTCAGAAGAGAAGGCGTCCATTGTGTTGACAGTATCATGGCCACAGAGAAGTAACAAAGAAAACAACAAGATGCAGCAACAGGGACCGAGTCTGCGCGAGGTACGACCACAACCACAGAGAACTATCTCACGAGGAAGAGAGACTGAGACCTCTGAGCTGAAGGTCTGAATCCTGCTGCTCACATAAACATCGACGGTTGAGGAGACACATATCCACTGACAGGTGCGAAACCAAGAGAGAGAGAGAGAGAGAGAGAGATGTACCAGGGAGATAAAAGAGAGAAAGACCAAAGAGAGACCAGAGAGAGAGAGAGACCAGAGAGATAACAGATAGAGAGGCCAGAGAGAGAGGACAGAGAGAGAGACTAATAAGAGACCAGAGACAGACCAGAGAGGAAGACCAAAGAGAGAGCAGAGAGATAAAAGAGAGAGAGAGACCAAAGAGAGACCAGAGAGAGACCAGAGAGAGAGAGACCAGAGAGAGAAACTAGAGAGGGATTAGAGAGAGAGAGACCAGAGAGAGAAACTAGAGAGGGATTAGAGAGAGAGACCAGAGAGAGAGACCAGAGAGAGAGAGACCAGAGAGAAACCAGAGAGAGGCTAGAGAGAGACTGGAGAGAGGGACCAGAGAGAAACCAGAGAAAGAGGGTAAAGAGAGAGAGCAGAGCGAGTGACCAGGAAAATATGCTGAGTGTGTCCTTGGTCTGTGAAAAGCGCGACATAAATAAACAGTCCTAACCTCCATGAGTGGTTTGTTAACTGTGATCCTTTCCATACAGTAGAAAACAGAAGTGATCCAGACCAAAGGCCACAAGCAGAGGTTCACGTCCCACTTCTGCTGCAGAGAGAGTCTGTCGTGACCTTTGAAAACGCAGACTTCGGATTAAAGAGACAAACTTAAAATGTGTCGTCAATTCAATTCAAATGACTATAATTCTAAGTTAAGTAAATCTGTAACTTAAAGATGCTATAGCCAATTTTTTAATGAGTTAATAAAAATGCTTATTACTACATAAAAGCTGTATTATAATCTGTAATTTACTTGAAAACTCATTGATTCAGCTGTGTAGAAATCCAGGCTGTAAAAAGTGCTGAGTAGAGACTTAGCGTGACGCCCGCTCTCCTCCAATCACAGAGCGAGGCTGCATCCTTTAGCCTCTACAGCGCTGCTGGAGTGGTTTGGTGGAGAGGGAGGGGAGGGGGGAGTGGTTTGGTGGAGAGGGAGGGGAGGGGGGAGGGGTTTGGTGGAGAGGGAGGGGAGGGGGGAGTGGTTTGGTGGAGAGAGAGGGGAGGGGGCAGTGGTTTGGTGGAGAGGGAGGGGAGGGGGAGTGGTTTGGTGGAGAGGAAGGGAGAGGGGGGAGTGGTTTGGTGGAGAGGGAGGGGAGGGGGAGTGGTTTGGTGGAGAGGGAGGGGGGGGGAGTGGTTTGGTGGAGAGGGAGGGGAGGGGGGAGTGGTTTGGTGGAGAGGGAGGGGAGGGGGGAGTGGTTTGGTGGAGAGGGAGGGAAGGGGGAGTGGTTTGGTGGAGAGGGAGGGGAGGGGGCAGTGGTTTGGTGGAGAGGGAGGGAAGGGGGGAGTGGTTTGGTGGAGAGGGAGGGGAGGGGGCAGTGGTTTGGTGGAGAGGGAGGGAAGGGGGAGTGGTTTGGTGGAGAGAGGAGGGGAGGGGGCAGTGGTTTGGTGGAGAGGGAGGGGAGGGGGAGTGGTTTGGTGGAGAGGGAGGGGAGGGGGGAGTGGTTTGGTGGAGAGGGAGGGGAGGGGGCAGTGGTTTGGTGGAGAGGGAGGGGAGGGGGGAGTGGTTTGGTGGAGAGGGAGGGGAGGGGGAGTGGTTTGGTGGAGAGGGAGGGGAGGGGGAGTGGTTTGGTGGAGAGGGAGGGGAGGGGGCAGTGGTTTGGTGGAGAGGGAGGGGAGGGGGAGTGGTTTGGTGGAGAGGGAGGGGAGGGGGAGTGGTTTGGTGGAGAGGGAGGGGAGGGGGCAGTGGTTTGGTGGAGAGGGAGGGAAGGGGGAGTGGTTTGGTGGAGAGGGAGGGGAGGGGGCAGTGGTTTGGTTGGAGAGGGAGGGGAGGGGGGAGTGGTTTGGTGGAGAGGGAGGGGAGGGGGAGTGGTTTGGTGGAGAGGGAGGGGAGGGGGCAGTGGTTTGGTGGAGAGGGAGGGGAGGGGGGAGTGGTTTGGTGGAGAGGGAGGGGAGGGGGCAGTGGTTTGGTGGAGAGGGAGGGAAGGGGGAGTGGTTTGGTGGAGAGGGAGGGGAGGGGGAGTGGTTTGGTGGAGAGGGAGGGGAGGGGGGAGTGGTTTGGTGGAGAGGGAGGGGAGGGGGGAGGGGTGGGGGGGGGGGAGTGGTTTGGTGGAGAGGGAGGGAGAGGGGGAGTGGTTTGGTGGAGAGGGAGGGGAGGGGGGAGTGGTTTGGTGGAGAGGGAGGGGAGGGGGGAGTGGTTTGGTGGAGAGGGAGGGGAGGGGGGAGTGGTTTGGTGGAGAGGGAGGGGAGGGGGAGTGGTTTGGTGGAGAGGAGGGGAGGGGGAGTGGTTTGGTGGAGAGGGAGGGGAGGGGGGAGTGGTTTGGTGGAGAGGGAGGGGAGGGGGGAGTGGTTTGGTGGAGAGGGAGGGGGGGGGGCGTGGTTTGGTGGAGAGGGAGGGAGGGGGGGAGTGGTTTGGTGGAGAGGAGGGAGGGGGGGGTGGTTTGGTGGAGAGGGAGGGAGGGGGAGTGGTTTGGTGGAGAGGAGGGAGGGGGGGAGTGGTTTGGTGGAGAGGGAGGGGAGGGGGGAGTGGTTTGGTGGAGAGAGGGGGGGAGAGGGGGGAGTGGTTTGGTGGAGAGGGGGGGGGGAGGGGGGTGTGGTTTGGTGGAGAGGGAGGGGAGGGGGGAGTGGTTTGGTGGAGAGGGAGGGAGAGGGGGGAGTGGTTTGGTGGAGAGGGAGGGGAGGGGGGAGTGGTTTGGTGAGAGGGAGGGAGGGGGAGTGGTTTGGTGGAGAGGGAGGGGAGGGGGAGTGGTTTGGTGGAGAGGGAGGGGAGGGGGGAGTGGTTTGGTGGAGAGGGGGGAGGGGGGGTGGTTTGGTGGAGGGGGGGGGAGGGAGGGTGGTTTGGTGCAGAGGAAGGGAGAGGGGGGAGTGGTTTGGTGGAGAGGGAGGGGAGGGGGAGTGGTTTGGTGGAGAGGGAGGGGGGGGGGAGTGGTTTGGTGGAGAGGGAGGGGAGGGGGCAGTGGTTTGGTGGAGAGGGAGGGAAGGGGGAGTGGTTTGGTGGAGAGGGAGGGAAGGGGGAGTGGTTTGGTGGAGAGGAAGGGAGAGGGGGGGCGTGGTTTGGTGGAGAGGGAGGGAGGGGGGAGTGGTTTGGTGGAGAGGAAGGGAGAGTGGGGAGTGGTTTGGTGGAGAGGGAGGGGAGGGGGGAGTGGTTTGGTGGAGAGGGAGGGGAGGGGGAGTGGTTTGGTGGAGAGGGAGGGGAGGGGGGGAGTGGTTTGGTGGAGAGGGAGGGGAGGGGGGAGTGGTTTGGTGGAGAGGGAGGGGAGGGGGAGTGGTTTGGTGGAGAGGGAGGGGAGGGGGGAGTGGTTTGGTGGAGAGGGAGGGGAGGGGGGGGAGTGGTTTGGTGGAGAGGGAGGGGAGGGGGGAGTGGTTTGGTGGAGAGGGAGGGGGGGGGGGAGTGGTTTGGTGGAGAGGGAGGGGAGGGGGGAGTGGTTTGGTGGAGAGGGAGGGGAGGGGGAGTGGTTTGGTGTCGGTGCTACCGCTAAACTAACAATATCGCTTACTGCACCTTTAAGCCTGGAAATTAAATCTACCTCTTTGGGGAATCTCGCTTTAGTGCGTTTTAGGCACTTTTACTATCAAACTGCGTCCCAACCATTTGGTAAATGCAGAGAATAAAAATACCCTAACATATTTATTGTGTTATTAGTGCTACTACATCATAGAAAATCCAGAAAAGTAAAAAAATACACTGCTTTCTTCAAGGAGTGAACATTAAAGGGTAAGTATGAAAGAACTCGACTTGAACATACAGTAAGCAAGCTGGAGCCAATGTCCTTATATGGGCACTTGTTCCGACAGGGGTTAGCTTTGAGCGGTAGCAGGGGCAGACGTGTTGCTAAGACGGTTGCTAAGGAAAGCTGGAGCGAATGAAGGCATCATAAGGTTAATACTTATGGCTCAGGGAGGATTTTACAAATACAATACAAACATTTAAACACCAGGATCACAGAGAGCGCTAACTATGTTTTAGTTAATCCCAAAAAGGTGAGTCTGACACAAACGGTAATTGAGCTAGAGGAGCCTAAGCTAGCGGGTTAGCATTGTCCATCTATATACAGTCTATGATGCTATCAATTTGTGCGTTAGTCTTGATCGCACAAAGCTCCGTCTGTGTCCTGACCTTGAGTGGGTTTATGCCGTTCACTTGCCGCAGTTCCTCCACCGTCCACTGGGAACGTCTGCTGAAGGAGTCTCCGATCTTTTTTACTTTGGTGATGTGCAGCTGCGGAGGTTTGCCCTTCGTCACTGAACACAGAACACCAGCACATCGGTCCAACAGGGAAGTACCATTGTGTACAAGAGTTTACTTTACTATAAGGAAAGTTGAATAACAATAATAACATTTAAATCTTACAGTGATCTGGTTTAAAGGAACCGAATAACTGCACTCTCTCTCTCTCAAACTCGAGGTATGAAGGAAATGTTCAAATAGTTCAACCCTGACCTCTCAATGTTTCACAAGAGTGTGAGTGTGTGTGTGTGCGCGTGCGTGTGTGTGCGTGTGTGTGAGAGAGGTGTATGGTCAGAGAGAGTTTGGTCCAATGTCTTGTCTGTGTAGGGGTTAAATCACCACGACCACTACTACTACTACTACTACTACTACTACTACTACTACTACTACTACTACTACTACTACTACTACTACTACTACTACCACTACTACTACTACCACTACTACTACCACCCTTGGCTGTCCAGTGATTGATGTCTTGATTTCAATGCCCACGTCAATAACAAAGAAAAGTTGAGATGTTGATTTTCGCCTCCATCAGCACCTCCATCAGCACCTCCATCAGCACCTCCCACCTGTGACGCAGAGGAAGGAGGAGGCCCTCTTGTTGCGGAGCAGGGACCTGTAGCGGCTGCGGCTCCTCTGCACCTCCACCGCCACCAGCAGCACCTCCCCACATGGTACAAACAGCTGTTTGTTCAGCGCCGACGACACGTTCATTTTCACACACACCTACGACACAGGTCACAGTCACATCCGACTACAACACTTTCTATCGCAAAAGAAAATGTCCCAAATGTCTAACTGGATCATTATCAAACAGTGATCCAAATGTAAATCCACAAACTTAACTGGCCACCATGTTGTTTTTACTGGCCAATATCATGCCCAGTCGTCCTGAAAATGTGAGACAGGCTTCTGCTATCTCTGACAATGTCCAAACCGTCTTAAACTCGCAGCCATGACCTCAAATTATGCACAAAATTCTGGAGATAAATCACAAAAAAGGTCTGTATAAAGCTGCCTACCTTCTTCTGAACTGCTACAAGGCCATAGGAGTAGTGCTGGGTTAGTTGGTTAGTAAATATATATATTTTGCTTTCTCTGGGGACGTCGTCTTCTGCTGCTCCTTTTAAACCCAGAGATGAGGAGAGGGAGGGTGGGTGGGATGATAGGGGTGAGGGAGGGTGGGTGGGGGTGAGGGAGGGTGGATGGGATGATAGGGGTGAGGGAGGGTGGATGGGATGATAGGGGTGAGGGAGGGGGTGAGGCCTCAAGCTGGTGCCAAGTCATGAGGGCACAGTGTGTCTGGGACGGTGACACTTCCACCCCACACTTGTCACTGTTGGGATTGTTCATTCATTGGTTTATCTTGAGCTTGGACATTTATTTTCAACAACAGAACAATATGCATAAGTGATGATGGAGCGTAGACTGTATATAGATGACGATGCTAACCTGCTAGCTCAATAAGGAAGTGCTCATGGACAAAGTTTTGCTTCAACTTGCTCTGGCTCCTAATGACTTCCTTGAAAATGAAACTAGGCAAGCTCAGAAACCATAAGCGTCACACTCATCATTTTAGGCTCACAAATCTGTAGTTTAGTGCTATGATCCTGATGTTTGTATTTTGTTTGTACTGTAAGTAAGTAAGTTTTTATTTATATACCGCCTTTTCACTGCAGATCTGAGTCTCAAAGCGGTTTACAATTGTTAATTTTGGGCATTTGTCTCTCACTCCACACAGAGATGGGAGCGGGGCCAGTACAGGAGGACCATGCCAGAACTATTGGACATATTTTTAGTGGTAGGGGAAACCGGAGCACCCGGAGGAAACCTACGCAGACACGGGGAGAACATGCAAACTCCACTCAGAAAGGCCCTGGTCCGACCGGGATTCGAACCCAAAACCCAGTTTGATATTATCTTTGTAAATCCCATATTGAGACATGAGAGGGAACTCCAGCTAGCACCCGTCATAGCAAAACGGCTATTGCTGTTATGGCGAGAAGCTAATGCCGTCTGAACAAATGCCCATATAAGGAAATTTGCTCCAGCTAGCTTATGCTCAACTTAGCTTCTTTAGCACTCTGTAAAACACTATATCACACTCGGTCCATCCACTCTGAATACACGATCTATGTCTTTGTCTGAAGTAGCCCAGGGACCATTAAACATGAACATGGTATATGCTACATAGACTACAGTATGTGACAAACGTGGAGGAAAACAGATTGGATTTTTTCATTTGTAGAATTAAAACAGTAAAAATCAGTGTTTGTTTGATCCCCATTTATTGACAGACAGTATTTGTATATTCAGTATTATTTAAAGTATGACTTTACCAACAGCTGACGGAGCAAAACAAAGAGACGACTGTTTCAACTAAACACATGATTTAATGATGAGGTGTTTTAACTGTTGACTCGTGATGATCAGAGCTTGGTAAATAACACAAACTCATTAGCATGCTAACCTTAAATGTTAGCTTCCATGTCTGGACTCATTCACCAATTTATTTTGACAATAAACCTGTGTCCAAGAGCTACCAAAATGATAAGTCCATAAACTGTTCTGACAACAGCCTGAATCACATAAACACCTCCTGTGTGTTTCCCGGCGGCTCGCTCTGCTGTTCACATAAACAGCAGCTGATGGAGCCAAGTCCAAACTCCTTCTTATATTCCAGGGGGCGCTCTTAACACATTAAAGAAATACATTGGTCGCTAAATAAGACGTAGGGTCTACACAACTTGAATAAAGCCTCTTCTTATAATCTGGCATTTTCTGTAAACTGACCGGTTAAACACAATTTGCCCCAAAATCAAAAAACAGGGCCCATTTTTTCATGATATCTACACATTTAAAATAATATTACCATATACAATTCCAGGTGATTGTAAATGTAAAAAAACCTGTGATAGTTAAAGGTCATGAGTCTGTGAGAGCAGAGAGTCTGAGGTTCTCTTTGTGCAGCAGCTCCGGCAGCTTCAGTCCCTGCAGCAGCAGCTCACACTGAGTCCTGTACTGACTCAGTGGATCATCAGGGAACGAGGTCAGCAGAGCGTTCATACTGCCCAGGAGAGCGCCCCCCTGTGGACAAGACCAGACCACACCAGGTCAAACCAGATCAAACCAGTTAAACTTTGTCAAACATTGGCGGCATTGACGTATATAAGAGATAAAAGTAGTGTCTCATAGTAACATAACATGTTAAATATAGTCTGTTCAGGATATATCATGTGTATATTAGCTTGGAATGTAAATAATATTAGCAATTGGCAATCCTTCCAAACAACTTTTCCCATAATATACTTTAAGATAAGAAAGTCCATCTCTACTCGTATAATAGTGTAATAATAGCCATAGAGCAGACTCTGACCTGCATAGAGCACTCCATCACAGACACGGCCATGATCGCATCCTCGACGGTGACGGTCTCTCTGTACATGAGTTTGGCGTGTGCTGTCGAGTCACAGATAAAGGTTTATTTAGTCCGATGGGAACACAGAGGGTGGTGCTGTTGTACCTTCTGCCAGCCGGCTCAGGCTCTCCAACATGCGGATGGTGGTGCGAGCGCCGCGGCCCTGGCTCTGTCTCTGCAGCTGGTAGTAACTGGTCAGGACTCGGTTGGCGTCCTGCGAGAGCTGAGGCTGCAGACGCTTGATCAGACAGAAGTAGGCTTTCATCTTATCTATGGACCACAGAGAGGAGTCCGAGGGCTGCCCTGGAAACACGCCACAGAAACATTTTTAGTAAGTATTTGCATTTTATTTTGGCTGTTTACACAACTTCTACATGACATGGCCATTGGTGAAGTAGGATAATCAACTCAATTCAATGCATATGTGTAAAGCCATTAATCATGAAAGAATGTCTCGGAATCAGAAATGCAACAATAACAAACGCATTGGTCCATAGGGAGCGGGATGACCACTGTCCTGAAATGGATGTTCTGGATCCTCACTGTCCTTTGACCCTCCTGCATCGGCAAGGAACCAAAAAACATTGGGATTTATTTTTTTACATTCTGAGGAAAGCCTATATTGAGAGAGGGATTTGTTCCCCTAAATGGACAGGCTGCAGATCCAGGACTGAGGCTGCAGATCCAGGACTGAGGCTGCAGATCCAGGACTGAGGCTGCAGATCCAGGACTGAGGCTGCAGACCCAGGACTGAGGCTGCAGACCCAGGACTGAGGCTGTAGACCCAGGACTGAGGCTGTAGACCCAGGACTGAGGCTGTAGACCCAGGACTGAGGCTGTAGACCCAGGACTGAGGCTGTAGACCCAGGACTGAGGCTGTAGACCCAGGACTGAGGCTGTAGACCCAGGACTGAGGCTGTAGACCCAGGACTGAGGCTGTAGATCCAGGACTGAGGCTGTAGATCCAGGACTGAGGCTGTAGACCCAGGACTGAGGCTGTAGATCCAGGACTGAGGCTGTAGACCCAGGACTGAGGCTGTAGACCCAGGACTGAGGCTGTAGATCCAGGACTGAGGCTGTAGACCCAGGACTGAGGCTGTAGATCCAGGACTGAGGCTGTAGATCCAGGACTGAGGCTGTAGATCCAGGACTGAGGCTGTAGACGCCAGGACTGAGGCTGCAGATCCAGGACTGAGGCTGTAGACCCAGGACTGAGGCTGTAGACCCAGGACTGAGGCTGTAGATCCAGGACTGAGGCTGTAGACCCAGGACTGAGGCTGTAGATCCAGGACTGAGGCTGTAGACCCAGGACTGAGGCTGTAGATCCAGGACTGAGGCTGTAGATCCAGGACTGAGGCTGTAGACGCCAGGACTGAGGCTGCAGATCCAGGACTGAGGCTGTAGATCCAGGACTGAGGCTGTAGACCCAGGACTGAGGCTGTAGATCCAGGACTGAGGCTGTAGACCCAGGACTGAGGCTGTAGACGCCAGGACTGAGGCTGTAGATCCAGGACTGAGGCTGTAGATCCAGGACTGAGGCTGCAGATCCAGGACTGAGGCTGTAGACCCAGGACTGAGGCTGTAGATCCAGGACTGAGGCTGTAGATCCAGGACTGAGGCTGCAGATCCAGGACTGTTTCCAGAGAAAATTGCTGTCTGTGTTTTTGATTTACTTGCCATTCATTTATTAATTGATTCATTTATTAATACATTTAACTATTATCATTAGTTCAGGTATATTTATAGTTGACTTTACAATTTTAATTTTTTAGTATTTTAGATTATCTTTAAACTTCTTATGTAGGACCTGACACCATCCCACACATGTTATACCCCAACATCCTGCTACACGGAGACAGAACACAGGAGCAGCACCTGGGCGTTCGCGGTCCTCCAGGATGAAGCTGGAGATGGTGCGGTCCCACTCGGCGTTCCTACTGTCCAACAGAACCAGCACCAGGTCGAAGCGGCTGAGCAGAGGGCTGGCCAGGGCCACGTTCTCCGACAGGGACTGGCTCGGGTCGTACTGGCCCCGGGGGTTGGTGGCTGCCAAGATGGTGGTCCTGGTGTTCAGCTTGCACACCATACTACACACCAGAGAAGAAGACGGGTCACAAATGATCACAAATGATGAAGGACAACATAATAATCATGAGCACTGTATACATTTACACTGTTCTGGGCAGCTTCATTAATTACAGGCTGATTCCACCATCTCATCGGTCAAACCTTAAAGCGGCAAGAGCAAAAACAAAAAAATTCTAAAATAAAAGTCCTAATTCTAGGCCACAATCCACTATCTACGAGGGTTCTGAATGTTTTACTCATACACAAACAGCTACAAACTAGTCCTTTTCCATATTAAAAGTAAAAAGTTAATGTAATATTTCTGAATGTAAAATGTTCATTATGGGGGCGGCAGTTGGTAGAGCATTGGTCTTCAGGTCTAAAGGTCGTGGGTTCGATTCCCTAAGGACACCTACTCCACAACTCCCACTGACGTCTGCTGTTGTTGTGTCCCTGTGCGAGACACTTGACCCCACTTTGCCTTAAGCTCCCGCTGAAACACCCAGACTGCCACAGCGACGACACAGCCATGTCCTTATTCTTTCACTCCATACACAGTGGGGATAAACTACTGCTCTAGTCACAGTCGCCCTGGGGCAACTGCGCCGTACCCAGCTTTGGCCACACTGATGGACTGCTGCTCCATGGCCTCGTGGATACTGATGCGGTCGTGTTCTTTGATGCTGTTGAATTCGTCGATGCAGCAGAGGCCTCCGTCGGACAGGACCAGCGCTCCAGCCTCCAGGTGCCACTCCCCCCCGTCTCTCACCGCAGCCACAGTCAGACCTACAAGTTTTCAGAAGTATTCAATGTTATGGCACGGTGGCTGAGTGGATAGCACTCTCGCCTCTCAGCAAGAAGGTCCTGGGTTCGAATCCCGGTCGGACCAGGGCCTTTCTGAGTGGAGTTTGCATGTTCTCCCCGTGTCTGCGTAGGTTTCCTCCGGGTACTCCGGTTTCCCCTACCACTAAAAAAATAGTTCTGGCATGCGCCTCCTGTACTGGCCCCGCTCCCATCTCTGTGTGGAGTGAGAGACAAATGCCCAAAATTAACAATTGTAAACCGCTTTGAGACTCAGATCTGCAGTGAAAAGGCGGTATATAAATAAAAAACTTACTTACTTACTTATGTTTGGACACCTTTTCTCTCTTTGTCTAATGTTTCTGTCGAGTTATTTTTGGGTTTTATGTCAAGAGTATGAGTTAGCATGTACATGTTTTAAGAGTAATCATTTTGTTGATGTTTTGTAACCTGTGTCTACATATTTTACAGCTGGGAACGGGAGTATAAGAAGCACTGTCCTTGTTGGGACGGAGTTGGGTTTCGGTTTTAGAGATAAACTAAAATAGACAACTTATAAACAGCTAAACCTAACCCTAATACAATACAAAGATTAAAATGCTATTTGAAGTCTCATCCAGTCTCTGTTTCCCAAAAGATTATAATAAATATGTAACAGATCACATTACAATAATAACAGCAGTCTTACTCTCTCTGTACCTGCGTTCGTTGACCCGATCCCAGCCGTGAGCACAGAGCGGGGCAGGACTTTCACTGCGTACTTGAGGAACTGGGATTTTCCTGTTCCCGGGTCGCCCACCAACAGCATGTGGCTCTCTCCTACGAAAACAGAAAGACTTGTTTGAGAAAGAAAGCAAAAAAGCCTCCTCTGGGAATCCTCATGCTTCTGTGTGCGCTCTGATTATTACGAACTGCACCACTGGGAAACTCTGGTTGAGATGTTTGCATGGATTTGGGGACCAATCACAGAAAGGGAAGGGACTGAAAGGACGACTCATGTTTAAGTTCCACAAACGGCAGTAATCGTTCAGCTCCTTCTCTTTAGCTGTTACTGCCATATGAACACACACACGCTTTAACTAGGGCTGGGACTCGATAAGAAAAAATAAAAAAAATCGAATTAATTAAAGGCTTTGTAATTAATTAATAGTTTTTTATTGCATATAAATATTTGACAGTGAGAAGTAATTTTTTTCACATGGTTTTTTGTGTGTTGCATAATGACTGAATAAATAAGCTTAAGCAACACAAAATATTGATTATTTTTGTTCAAGTCCAACCGAATTTTTGCCATCAAGTAGCAATACCATATTTAGAAATATACTTCCTGCACAGGGCCAACCAACACGGCCACATGGGAGTCAGTGGGAACAGTGTTTCTCTGAGTCACTTTTGTCATTGGGAGAGCCTGGAAGTCGCGCGGTGCTGCAGTACAATCGGTCCGTCTGAAACTCATCCAGCGAGAAACGTTCCGCGGTGCAAAAAAGGAGATGACGATTAAAATGCGTCAATTTTTTTAACGCGCTAATTTTTGTGAAATTAATTCATCTTAATTAGCGAGTTAAAGTCCCTGTCATCAATTTGAAATATAGCATGTGTGTAACATGAGGAGAGCCTGAGGTCGGACATAAAGCAGGTTATGAAAGGTTTGAGAATCCAACAAATTAGAACGATCAAATATGAAAAGGAAGAAACGGTACCTCTAACTTTCCCGCCAGTAGAGTCTATCCTCTGCACGCCACCCGCCATCACCATCGCCACCGCCAGTTTGACCACATACATGCCAAATATTTGTGGGCAGAAACTCATCAAGATCTGGTCCCTTCCTACAGAGAAAACACATGTAAGAGTTTATGTAGAGTCGGAGGGCGTACAGAAGAGGATGATGGGAGTGGAAGATCCCACCTGCCAGGGGGTTGCTCCTGTGCGTGTCCCAGAAGTCCTCTACGTCCCGGTGGGCCTCCTCCAGCAGCACAGAGACCGCCGTGTGCTGGTTGTTCACCTCCATGTTGTTGGCCTTCAGCACCAGCTCCAGGTCACAGCGAGAGCCGTCGGAGAAAGGCTTCCAGCGCTGACACACGACGCCGTACACAGTCACGTCGTCTCCTACAAACCAGGGGATTTTTGTCAACAATAACTACAATCAATCAATCAATCTAATTTAAGCACATTTAAAACAGCCTAGGCTTACCAAAGTGCTGTACAGACAATGAAAAAAAAATACTGAAATATGTATGTAAAAGCCAAACATGTGCGATTATTGGCCTGTGGGTGGCGCCTGTGTGTTATGTCTGTGGGGGGGGGGCGGGTCTAGCATAAATAGGCTCTCTCTAACGAGCTGTCCAGGTGTGCGACCCGGTAGCGGCCAATGGTTTTTGACCGCTACTTTTATGGAGTTTTGTTGTTGTGAGGAATGCATAAATAAACATTGATTTGATTATCCCAAAATGACTCATGGACTCGGGGGCGACAGTAGCTCAGTTGGTAGAGCATTGGCCTTAAGGCCAGAAGGTCGTGGGTTCAATTCCCACCTCTGCACCTTCTCCATCAACTCCCACTGATGACTGCTGTTGTTGTGTCCTTGGGCAAGACACTTAACCCCACTTTGCCCAAAGCCCCCACTGAAAGATCAAGGCTCTGCTCACACTCAGAGAGCAGCCGTCCTCCTGTGGACTCACCACCTACAGAGGGTCAGTGAGGGGCTGGTGCTATGAGACTTGGGTGGCATCTCTGACTGCCACCCCCCTGACCCAGAAATGGATTAAAGGGTAGAAAATGGATGGATGGATGGATGGACTCGTGGACTTATGCCTGCTGTGGTTAAAGCTGACACACAATAGCCATCTGAAGCGCGTCAGCCATAGCGACCGGTGTTTGGGCCCATCTCAGTGGCACAGGTACAGGTTGGCCATTACAACATATACACACACAAAAGTAGAAAAAACAAATCGCACCTGCATAAAAAACGGCACCAGCAACATTTGAAAAGAAAGTACTGTCCATAAATGTCCTTAAATGTCCCGCAGCATCACTGTCCTTATAGGCTCTCCGGCGGCCAGTCTGATGGATGTAAGATCTGTCAGACTGACCTCATCCGGCAACAACAGCTGATAAAAGACGCCATCAAGTGTCTCTGACGAAACCGCCAAAACATGTGGTCATTAAGAAGTACTAGCTTTCTTTACTTTTTGGTCTTATTAAAAGAACCTTCTAAGCCTCCTGCATCGGCAAGGAACAACACAAAAAGAGGCTTCCAGGCAAAAAGGGGGGTGCAGCCACAAGTCCAGTTTGGGGGAGACAGTTCACAGGTGCAGATATAAAAAGAAAGAAGAACCTGATTTGCAGCAGTCCACCAGGTCGTCCTCCAGCACGATGATCATGGAGCGAGGGATGCTGCCGACCGCCAGCCGCTGCACCTGAAACACAAACACTTCACTTGGTCTGAACTGACTTTGCACATGTGAGAGCCTTGACAACAGTCCACCTGTTCCTGGATCTTGATCTCCTGGTAGTCTCTGCAGGAGGCGGGCTCCGTGTCCCCCGACAGACAGGTGAATCTGTGGGAGTCGCAGCGCTCGGGGTTGGAGCAGGCGGCCGGAGCAGAGAAGCTGTAGAACTGGTCAAACTCAGCTCTCACTTGGAAAACGTGTCGGCACTTTGCACACATGTAGTCACGCTGGAACTCTAAGACCTGTCAAAGGAAAAGTAACGATGACTGTATGAACCCACAGTGAACAAAACTCCAATTTAGGAAAAAAACTTGTTTTTTCCTTTATCTTTGCTCTATGGGAAATGAGCTCAAAATGGACAGTTAAATGGACAATTAATGTGTCCAGATGATGGGAAACCTGGCAAATAACTCATTCCATCCATTGGTCTGAATGTTCCAGTACTACCAGGGACTGCTGTTGTATAAAATGTTTTTTAAAAAGTGGTTGAAAATAATGCCCAAATTGGCTCACCTTCGTGTCACTGGTTCGAATGACTGTTCCATTGACTGAGAGAAAATGACCCACGTCTCTGGATCTGGGAATTGTGTCTCTGGTGAGCTCCGGACACACAGGTAAACCTTTAGAGAAGGAAAACACATACTTATGCAACTAAAACACTACTATTTTGTGTTTTAATTTTGTGGTATTTTAGCGCTTATGCAGTTTGACTCACCTGCAATCCGTGTATGAAGAGTGCATGTTAGCCTCTGCTCTGGCGCCCTCTGCTGGCCAGTTCTTAAAACCTCCAGAGCGGTTTGTTGTAAAACCTCATCAAAAAGAGCCAAAACTTCACTGGGATACACATTAAAATAGTCCCCAACCTGAACGAAAGATTAAACGTTCAACAAAACAGCAAATTAATGTTAAGCGATAAAATCTCCCATGAGGTCTTACTTCCATATTGGCTTCAAAAAGGTTCATGGCGTTGACCGCGATGGCACGGTGAGTGTGGACGTCAGCCTCTGTGATGACCTGCTGCAGGTCTTCAGAGTGATGCTCCAGAACATAGTTTTTGAAGACTGTGCGGATGATGGACTCCTCCTCTGGGCTCAGCTTTTCACACTGAGCCATGCTGCAGACTGTTCAGTGTCTGATAAAGGAAATACAAAAGGTTGTAAAGACGTATTTTATTACATTATGTTTTAAACTAAAGAAGGAGCCAAGATTAAAGGCATCAGGCGGGTCAATCTATGTTCCCACCCTTCCTGTGCCACCGAGTGGATAGCACTCTCGCCTCTCAGCAAGAAGGTCCTGGGTTCGAATCCAGGTTGGACCAGGGCCTTTCTGAGTGGAGTTTGCATGTTCTCCCCGTGTCTGCGTAGGTTTCCTCTGGGTACTCCGGTTTCCCCTACCACTAAAAATATGTCCAATAGATCCGGCATGCGCCTCCTGTTCGGCGACCCCGCTCCCATCTCTGTGTGGAGTGAGAGGACAAGTGCCCAAAAAATAACAATTGTAAACCGCTTTGTGACCCTTGTCTGAGAAAGGCGGTATATAAATAAACATTACTTACTTACTTCCTCCTCCACAGCGTGAGTAGCTCAGTGAAAAGGGGAAAGCTCAGAGTAGAGCCCGTGCTCCTCACGTTCTAGATGTGTCCCACATTGAGGAGGCTTATCCCATAAATGCAGGAGAGATATATACATTCGCTTTTTTGTATTTTCTGACCATTTGTCTGCTTCCTGCAGTTAATAACATTTTGAAACATTTTTGCATTGGCCCTGCTCAGTACCTGCTTGGCCCTGGTTCTGTTCAGGTTGAGCTGGTACGTAAAGGGTTATAGGAAGTTTTTCAATTTTTTTGGAAAGAACCGCACTCTCCACTTTTTGAACAAAACTCTCTGGTCTTTTTTGATGAGCACGAATCACCAGAAGGATTGACAATTAGGAGGACCAATAGTCTTGATGATCCACCCGGAAGTAGAAAATCCTCCTATATACTTTTAATTGTTCTAACTGAAAAAGAAAACACATATATTTAAAATAAATGTTGTCTTCTCCTTTATTATGAGTCTATAATAAAAAGTGATTGACCAAACTACTGCTGGAATCCATGGTTCTCAAGGAATTTTCCCTTATACTGGTTTGTTGTGGATAGGTTGCTAGGATACGTTATCAGATACTAAATTGTAAAGAAAAATAACCAGGGAAAGTAAAGTAAAGTTGAATAAAGTCAGGCTAAGTAAGGCTAGTGTAAATGGGGTTTTAGAACAGCTCGGTCTAGATAGGACCAGGTTAAAATATATATAATTGTAATACTTAGGTTTATTGCAAACCTTTTCTTGCTTGGTGGATAAAGGGAAAAACACTACCTACATTGCATGATCTCATTATCCCCTTACCTTCAGATTACTGCTGAATATCCACAGATTAAACAGATAAGTCACATGTTGTTGTGCTCCACAGCTGTCGTGCTTGTCTTTCCCGGGTAGAAGCTTTCAAGTTTAATCCCTGAACTTTGAATTCAGGCTCCCGTTAACACAAGAAGACACGCGTTTTAGCTTTTTATCGCTGTTTAATGCGTGTACATACAAAAATACCTGTTTTAGTATAAATATAAATATTTCTGTACGTTACATAAGAAAAGAAATAGTGATTTATATTATACTTTTAGAGAATGTGCAGAGAAGAACAGCCTGATTAGACAAACTTCGGGGGAAAAACGAGTGCCACTCTGTCAACGCTTGTGATTGTCGCCCTCTAGCGGCGGCGGCAAGCAGTGCGTGCGGACCGTGTGCTGCTGATGCTGCTGTATCCTCATCAGGGACAGCCAGCCTCCTTTCCAGAGTGATGTCTAAGTGATCCAAAGAAATGCGCGTAACGTTATTCCTCTCTGTCCCGAGCATTCGCATCATTCGGACCAGAACATGGAGAGAACTGGGGCAGACGTGAGTAAATCAGGTCAGTGCTCGGTGCGCATCACACTGACGGGATGCTAACACTGCTACTAGCAAGATTTCGCATATTTCTACACAGAATGTCTCTGATGTTGCTTTTTAAGTATATAATAAAAAGGTTTTTTATTTTGTCTCCGAGCAACTTTTAGCCCTTAGCACTCCTAACCCTTATCATAGTGCAATATTATATGCATGTATTGAATGAGAGGGAGAATACAGTCTATGGAGAATACAAGGGTATTTATTTATATATTTTACCAATTTGATAGATTCTTTTTATGTAACATTTCCTGCTTTGCTCCAGTATTACCCATGATAGTCTGAACTGGGTAGACATTGGTACAGCTGTTTTTCTCTGAGGAGGGAGGCTTATTGCTGTTAGTGTTGTTTTGTGTTTTGTCTTATCCTGGACCATGAGTTTACAATAAAGTTTTATGATTATGAAGACAGAAAGGGGCAGCATTGGTTAGCACTCTCGTTTCTCAGAAGAAGGTTTGTGGTTTGAATCCCAGTCGAAACAGGGGCTGTCTATCTGAATCTGTGGGAGTTACTGACCCCCCACCCCCTGCTCCAAGACACATTTCTTCCTTGGCTGACGACGTAGTAAATTAATCTGATCTGAGAGGAGTTTGCATTCCACTAAACCCATGTACAAGAAGTAACATCCTCGAGCCCTGGTCCTGACCAAGAGCATCAAGAGCATGGACATCTGGAGATGGGTCCCAAGTGCTGTATCACAGTGACCACTGCTTCTGTGCTTCTGACAGAGGCCCGTAAGTGGCATTGAGGGATGCGTCTGATGGAGAGGACACATTTCCCTTTTGGGGAAAGAATATATACACCTTAACTTAATTTAAGTTAATGCTGTGTCTCTTGCTGTTACAATGTTTTATTTATCGACAAAACATCCCTACCCTGTCTTAAAAAGAGATTCTGAAATCTGAAACTTTCCTAAATAAAGGTCAATGATATTTATTATTAATTATTATTTCTAAGCTTCCGTATTCTTATCTGAGGATCATTGTAACCCTCTCTCTCTGGGGCAGGCTGCAGCAGTCATGGAGGTTCCACAGAGCTGTTGTCTGGTCCCAGCAGTCCTCCGCCTCGGACCCCTCGCAGCAGGACGTCCGGCCGCAGAGCCAGCTCTCTGTCCGACAGCGGAGACACAGGCTTCTACACCTACAGCTCCGACAGCGTGGAGGGTACGACATACTCAGACTCACATTCACCGGTTTGCCACATGCAACTTCACACATTTACATTATATACATTATTACATGTGGTGATTGCTCCTGGAGTGTGTTACGGGCCTATACTTTGGCCCCTGATGCCAAATTCAAGAAACATTTACTGCTTCTTATCTCTTACCACTGTGGCCATACTGACATGCGAAAGCTAGATCCCGTCAGACCTTCACCCACAATGTCTAGAATGAGTCTGTGGTGGGAGGGGCCGATGGCACAGACTGGTTGCCTCGCTTCTGTCAGTTTGCCCAGGGCAGCTGTGGCTACAGTATTAGTTTATCACCACTGTGTAGGTCATGAATTAATCACGCCTTGGACTCTGAGAAGCACAGGGATTGGCTGTGGGTCCCAGAGTCAGGACTAAACATGGGGAGTCAGTGTTTCAGATTTATGTATCACTTTTTGCATGAAACAAACAGAGCTTGATTGATTCTTCTGAGAGGGCCCTGTACATTTCTTCTAAAACCCTGTCTCTATGTGGCGTTCTTCCAGACGTCTCCTACGCCCAGAGAAGCTCCACTCTGCAGCCTCAGTCTCTGCTCGTCTCAGGCTTGTCCCCCGCGTCCCTCCGACCTCTGTCCATGACCCGCTCCTACGACCAGCTCTCGGCTCAGCAACAAACCACAGCCCAATGGTACAAGACCTGCCAGCAGCTGACCTCCTCCTCCTCCACCTCCTCCCCTTCCAGCACCAACAACCCCAAGAAGAACCAGGAACCCATGAGGAAAAGCTCGTCTCTGAACAAGCTGTCGTCGTGGGCTGTTTACGACTCCACCCGCAGTAGTAGCAGCAGTAAAACCAGCGATTTGCAAGGGTCTTTGGATCGAAGCCTGCTCAAAAACTACAGAAAAGACACGGTCAAAAGCGACTTCTACCTTCCTCTGACTTCCCCGCTGAGATGTAACAGCTCTCTCTTGCGTTCCCCCGGCTCTGGACCCTGTCACTACTACAAGCTGAGTAGAAAGTCAGAATCGTCAGACCGGTCGTTGCGCAGGAGCACTTCTGCATTCTCGTCTCCCATCAAGCACAACCTGTTCACCGGGTTCTCCTCGCCGCAGGAGCCGTGCGAGCAGCCTCCCTTTGACCATCCGCTGCAGCCCGAGGTGCGCACGCAGATGTGGCTCAGCGAGCAGTTAGCCTACAAGCCCAAGTTTGAAGTGGGAAAGTTGGAGAAATCTGGGAATCTACCGTCAGAGAATTATGGAGACAAGATCACGAGGCAGCAAGGAATGTCCCCGCTTAAGTCAGGACTGAAGCAGGTGAGAGGCTGAGCAAGAATTTAAATAAATAAGAAAACAATCCATTCTAATATATATCTATTGATCTATTTGGACAGATTTTTTTGTTTTAGTTTGTGCAAAAGAGATCCAAGAATCACAGACCAGAAAACTATCTTTGAGACTTCAATTCAATTCTAGAAAGACCTAAATCACAACAGCAGTCGTCTCGGAGGAGTTTACAAAGTTGTGGATTCCTCAACAACAGATCAAAGAAACACAGGAAATGCAATAATAATAATAACAAACACATGACCACTGTCCATAAATGTCCCTCCTGCTTCGGCAAAGAACCACTCAAAGCCCAGTGTTAAAAGAAGTGAGAAGTAAGTAAGTAAGTAAGTAATCTTTATTTATATACCGCCTTTCACAGACCAGAGTCACAAAGCAGTTTACAATTGTTATTTTTTGGGCATTTGTCTCTCACTCCACACAGAGATGGGAGCGGGGCCAGTACAGGAGGCGCATCAGAGAGGCCACAATGAGAGTGGGACACACACGGTGGCTGAGTGGTTAGCACTCTCGCTTCTCAGCAAGAAGGTCCTGGGTTCGGACCAGGGCCTTTCTGAGAGGAGTTTGCATGTTCTCCCCGTGTCTGCGTAGGTTTCCTCCGGGTACTCAGGTTTCCCCTAACACTAAAAATATGTACAATAGGTCTGGCATACGCCTCCTGTACTGGCCCCGCTCCCATCTCTGTGTGGAGTGAGAGACAAATGCCCAAAAATAAACAATTGTAAACCGCTTTGAGATCTGCAGTGAAAAGGCGGTATATAAATAAAGATTACTTACTTACTTACTTACATAAACAACACATACACAAATTGGAAAATGCTGGTTTCTTATGGCCATGTCCAAGAACCGGGAATATGACAGTACTAAACTATACCATCTAAAACACAGCAAAAACACATAGGGCAAACTTTCAGACATAAGAATAATATTTTTGAATCTAATCACTGCTAAAATAAAATCTCTATGTTTGGATATTTGGATTATAGGAACGCAACCTATTTCTACACATTTTGACACATCTTCCAAAGTTTAAAGGGTTCATAGGACAACAGTCTGTGTAGCGACGTGGTGCAGAGGAATTCATACAATTTAATGAAGTCGCAAGAGTCTTTTTGTTCCCTATTGCATTAATGACCGTCTTGTTTGGACTTCTCAGATGATGAAGACCAGTCCGGGACCAGTTCCAGGTCTGGTGAAGTTCCAGGAGGGGCTGCTGCGACAGAGGGAGCAGGAGATAGACTGGTACGGACTATTAAACGTTCTTGGTGGATGAAGCGGGTTAGCATGGTCCATCTGTGTACAGACTATGGACGTTCCTCATGTGGTTCTGTCTCGTCTCAGGCAGAAGCAGCAGATCGTGCAGCTTCAGGCCCGGATCACAGAGAACGAGCTCAGGGTCCAGCAGGTCCAGCTGAGCCACCGCAGCAGACTGGACAACTCCTACATCTACAACAAGGTCTGATAATGGGCCTATAATAATATCTGGAGAGGGTATTACTGGCTTATAGCTGTCCCACTCCTGGCCACAGGGGGCGCTGTGGTACTGCAGAATAAATTAGACAAAATTCACTTTGCCATGTTACAAAGTCAGTATCAACATATAATCACCAGGATCACAGAGAGCGCTGAACAAAGCCCGAAGGTTCATCAAGCTAGCGGGTTAGCATTGTCCTTCTACAGTCTGTGACCTGACCATGTGACCTCCCAGCAGGACAGAGTGGGGGTCCCGGGACAAAGCGCTCCCTCCGCTCTCTGTGATAAAGACCTGAACCAGAAGCTTAGCGTCGCGGAAATGGAACTGCTCCATCTGAAGAATGTGTTCAAGCAGGTGACGCAGAAGTACGCAGAGGACGTGTGCAAGATGGACGACAAGGTACAAAGATTAGGGCCCTTTAATGATGACAGAGGAGGGCCCTTTAATGATGACAGATTAGGGCTCTTTAATGATGACAGATTAGGGCTCTTTAATGATGACAGATTAGGGCTCTTTAATGATGACAGATCAGGGCTCTTTAATGATGACAGATTAGGGCCCTTTAATGATGACAGATTAGGGCCCTTTAATGATGACAGATTAGGGCCCTTTCATGATGACAAATTGGGGCCCTTTAATGATGACAGATTAGGGCCCTTTAATGATGAAAGATTAGAGCCCTTTAATGACGACAGATTAGGGCCCTTTAATGATGACGGCATAGGGCCCTTTAATGATGAAAGATTATAGCCCTTTAATGACGACAGATTAGGGCCCTTTAATGACGACAGATTAGGACCCTTTAATGATGACAGATTAGGCCCTTTAATGATGAAAGATGAGAGCCCTTTAATGTCTCTTGGGAAGTTTCCGTCTTTTGAATATGTGTCTTTTAAAATACAACAAAAACAATCTCCTCCAATACTTTTCGTTGTCCTATACAAGCCACCGCAGTCATGTCACAGTTTTATTGATAATTTTACAGAGTTGCTTTCAGTTGTATGCACAGATTTTGATAGTTTAGTTATTACAGGTGATTTTAATATTCATGTGGATAATGTTGATGACAGAAATGCTAAAGAGCTGAGTTCTCTTCTTGAATCTTTTGGTCTCACTCAGCATGTGAGTGGCCCCACCCACAGCAAAGGGCACACTCTAGACCTGTTAGTTACAAAGGGGGCGAACATTTATAATGTAAACGTGGTCGATGTTGCGCTTTCGGATCATTTTTGTATATTTTTTGACATGTGTTTCACTAACAAACCACCAGTGGACTCTGCAACTGTACGAAGAAGACACATAAATGAAAATACGGGTGAACTATTTATGGGAATGATAAACTTTGAGAATGCATCGTATTCTACTGTAGATGAACTGTTTAACTCTGTCACCTCTAGTGTTTTGAAAGTTCTGGACACCATCGCTCCTGTGAAGGTTAAAATAGTGAAAAATAAGCAGAAGGCGCCGTGGGCTAAAGCAGACTCGGTCAGAGCACAAAAGAGAGAGTGCCGGAGGGCCGAGCGGAAGTGGCGCAAGTCCAACCTCCAGGTTGATTACAAGATCTTCAAAGATAAGTTGTGCGAGTTTAACCAGGTGCTACGTAGTACAAGAGAAAGGTATTTTTCTGAAATGATTGAAGGCTGCAGCAACAATCTGCGTGTTCTGTTTTCAACAGTTAATAGATTAACAAACCCCCCTGTTCAAATGCCATTAGAGCTAACTTCCAAACGTAAATGTAATGAGTTTGCACATTTTTTTCAATGACAAGGTTCAAGGCATCAAAAACGCCATTGTCTCCAATCCACAGATAACAATCCAACAGCCAGAAAGGCTCTTTGAGCTAACTTACTTTGCACCTGTAAATGATCAAACTGTCCAAGAGATAATCTCCAGTTTGAGCTCCTCCACATGCAGCCTGGATGTACTACCCACTAGATTTCTAAAGTCTGTTCTGAGCAGTCTGTTACCTTCACTCACACAGATAGTAAACATGTCCCTTGATTCTGGAATATTCCCAAAGGCCCTGAAAACTGCAGTCATCAGGCCCCTGCTAAAAAAGAGCAGTCTGGATGCTACGGTACTTAACAACTATCGTCCCATCTCAAATCTGCCATTTATGGGGAAAGTCCTTGAGAAAGTTGTCTACCTACAGCTTACTAGATTTCTTATAATCAACAACTCATTTGATATGTTTCAGTCCGGCTTTAGACCCCACCACAGCACTGAGACTGCTCTCGTTAAGGTTACAAATGATATCCGGCTGAACACTGACGCAGGCAAAGTCTCAATCCTAATCCTGTTAGATCTAAGTGCTGCCTTTGACACCGTCGACCATGAGATCCTCTTACAGAGACTAGAGAACTGGGTTGGCGTCGCTGGCACCGCCCTAAGTTGGTTTAGGTCTTACCTTGAAGACAGGAAGTACTTTGTGGAGATTGGAAACTGTGTCTCAGATCATATGGCCCTGACCTGTGGAGTACCACAGGGGTCGATCCTGGGACCTCTTCTGTTCAATCTCTACATGCTGCCGTTAGGTCAGTTAATACGCAGAAACAAAGTTTCCTATCATAACTATGCAGACGACACTCAGATCTATGTCTCACTGACTGCAGGAGAACATGGACCAGTGGACTCACTCCTTCACTGTATCCAACTGATCAGTGAGTGGATGCAAAACAACTTCCTTCAGCTAAACGCAGACAAAACTGAAATGATTGTCTTTGGTCCCCAGAAACAAAGAGAGAGCGTCATCTGTCACCTACAGTCTCTCTCCCTAAAACCTTCAAACAAGGTCAGAAATCTAGGGGTAATACTGGACTCAGACTTAAATTTTAATAGCCACATCAAATCAGTAACATCAGCAGCTTTTTACCATCTAAAAAACATTGCCAGGATTAAAAACATAGTGTCTAAAGCAGACTTGGAGATTCTTATCCATGCATTTGTCTCCAGTAGGTTAGACTACTGCAATGGCCTGCTCACAGGTCTGTCCAAACAGGCTGTAAAACAGCTGCAGTACATTCAAAATGCAGCAGCTCGAGTCCTGACTAGAACCAGGAAGTACGACCATATTAGTCCGGTCCTCAGGTCTCTGCACTGGCTTCCTGTGGCTCAGAGAATAGACTTTAAAACAGCTCTGCTTGTGTACAAATCTCTCCATGGCCTCGCACCAAAATATATTAGTGACATGTTAGTCCCATATGAACCAGCCCGGACTCTGAGGAGCACAGGGACTGGACTCCTGTTAGTGCCCAGAGTCAGAACTAAACATGGGGAGGCTGCTTTTCAGATTCATGCTGCTAAAATCTGGAACAATCTTCCTGAAGATGTGAGACAGGCCTCCTCTCTGACAATGTTTAAAACCAGGTTAAAAACGGTGCTGTTTAGCTGTGCATACAACTGAGGGATTTTATATTTTTATCTTTCGTTTTAATGTTCTGTAATTATTTATGATTTTAATGCTATCTTGTTCAGCACTTTGAGTTGCCTTGTGTATGAATTGTGCTATACAAATAAACTTGCCTTGCCTTGCCCTTGCCTAATGATGAAAGATTAGAGCCCTTTAATAACGACAGATTAGGGCCCTTTAATGATGACAGATTAGAGCCCTTTAATGATGAAAGATGAGAGCCCTTTAATGATGAAAGATTAGAGCCTTTTAATGACGACAGATTAGGGCCCTTTAATGATGACAGATTAGGGCCCTTTAATGATGAAAGATTAGAGCCCTTTAATGACAACAGATTAGGGCCCTTTAATGACGACAGATTAGGGCCCTTTAATGACGACAGATTAGGACCCTTTAATGATGACAGATTAGGGCCCTTTAATGATGAAAGATTAGAGCCCTTTAATAACGACAGATTAGGGCCCTTTAATGATGACAGATTAGGGCCCTTTAATAATGACAGATTAGGGCCCTTTGCTGGTGACAGATTAGGGCCCTTTAATGATGACAGATTAGAGCCCTTTAATGATGAAAGATGAGAGCCCTTTAATGATGAAAGATTAGAGCCTTTTAATGACGACAGATTAGGGCTCTTTAATGATGACAGATTAGGGCCCTTTAATGATGAAAGATTAGAGCCCTTTAATGACAACAGATTAGGGCCCTTTAATGACGACAGATTAGGGCCCTTTAATGACGACAGATTAGGACCCTTTAATGATGACAGATTAGGGCCCTTTAATGATGAAAGATTAGAGCCCTTTAATAACGACAGATTAGGGCCCTTTAATGATGACAGATTAGGGCCCTTTAATAATGACAGATTAGGGCCCTTTGCTGGTGACAGATTAGGGCCCTTTAATGATGACAGATTAGAGCCCTTTAATGATGAAAGATGAGAGCCCTTTAATGATGAAAGATTAGAGCCTTTTAATGACGACAGATTAGGGCCCTTTAATGATGACAGATTAGGGCCCTTTAATGACAACAGATTAGGGCCCTTTAATGACGACAGATTAGGGCCCTTTAATGACGACAGATTAGGACCCTTTAATGATGACAGATTAGGGCCCTTTAATGATGAAAGATTAGAGCCCTTTAATAACGACAGATTAGGGCCCTTTAATGATGACAGATTAGGGCCCTTTAATGATGAAAGATTAGAGCCCTTTAATGACAACAGATTAGGGCCCTTTAATGACGACAGATTAGGGCCCTTTAAGGATGACAGATTAGGGCCCTTTAATGATGAAAGATTAGAGCCCTTTAATGACAACAGATTAAGGCCCTTTAATGACGACAGATTAGGGCCCTTTAATGATGACAGATTAGAGCCCTTTAATGATGAAAGATTATAGCCCTTTAATAATGACAGATTAGGGCCCTTTAATGATGACAGATTAGGGCCCTTTAATGATGAAAGATTAGAGCCCTTTAATGACAACAGATTAGGGCCCTTTAATGACGACAGATTAGGGCCCTTTAATGATGAAAGATTAGAGCCCTTTAATGATGAAAGATTATAGCCCTTTAATAATGACAGATTAGGGCCCTTTAATGATGACAGATTAGGGCCCTTTAATGATGAGAGATTAGGGCCCTTTAATGATGAGAGATTAGGGCCCTTTGCTGATGACAGATTAGGGCCCTTGAATGATGACAGATTAGGGCCCTTTAATGATGCCTTGACATGAACATTTTACATATCGCTTCTTTAAATCCTGTTTATGAGCTGCTGATATGAGCTCCTGCCTCTGTCCCGGTCGTGCAGATCCAGACCCGAGACCGTTACATCTGCAGCCTGAAGAAGAAGTGTGCGAGAGAGAGCGAGCAGAAGCATGAGCGGCACCAGCGAGCAGAGACCCTGGAATGTTACCTGTCGGACCTGCCCACGCTGACCGAGGCCCAGGGCCAGAACCAGCAGGTAAATTACTGCTGAGACCAGAACCAGCAGGTAAATTACTGCTGAGACCAGAACCAGCAGGTAAACTACTGCTGAGACCAGAACCAGCAGGTAAACTACTGCTGAGACCAGAACCAGCAGGTAAACTACTGCTGAGACCAGAACCAGCAGGTAAACTACTGCTGAGACCAGAACCAGCAGGTAAACTACTGCTGAGGGCCAGAACCAGCAGGTAAACTACTGCTGAGGCCCAGAACCCGCAGGTAAACTACTGCTGAGGCCCAGAACCAGCAGGTAAACTACTGCTGAGGCCCAGAACCAGCAGGTAAACTACTGCTGAGACCCAGACCCAGCAGGTAAACTACTGCTGAGGGCCAGAACCAGCAGGTAAACTACTGCTGAGGCCCAGAACCCGCAGGTAAACTACTGCTGAGGGCCAGAACCAGCAGGTAAACTACTGCTGAGGCCCAGAACCCGCAGGTAAACTACTGCTGAGGCCCAGAACCAGCAGGTAAACTACTGCTGAGACCAGAACCAGCAGGTAAACTACTGCTGAGGGCCAGAACCAGCAGGTAAACTACTGCTGAGGCCCAGAACCCGCAGGTAAACTACTGCTGAGGCCCAGAACCAGCAGGTAAACTACTGCTGAGACCCAGACCCAGCAGGTAAACTACTGCTGAGGGCCAGAACCAGCAGGTAAACTACTGCTGAGGCCCAGAACCCGCAGGTAAACTACTGCTGAGGCCCAGAACCAGCAAGTAAACTACTGCTGAGGCCCAGAACCCGCAGGTAAACTACTGCTGAGGCCCAGAACCAGCAAGTAAACTACTGCTGAGGCCCAGAACCAGCAAGTAAACTACTGCTGAGGCCCAGAACCCGCAGGTAAACTACTGCTGAGGCCCAGAACCAGCAGGTAAACTACTGCTGAGGCCCAGACCCAGCAGGTAAACTACTGCTGAGACCCAGAACCAGCAGGTAAACTACTGCTGAGGCCCAGAACCAGCAGGTAAACTACTGCTGAGACCCAGAACCAGCAGGTAAACTACTGCTGAGGCCCAGAACCAGCAGGTAAACTACTGCTGAGGGCCAGAACCAGCAGGTAAACTACTGCTGAGGCCCAGAACCCGCAGGTAAACTACTGCTGAGGCCCAGAACCAGCAGGTAAACTACTGCTGAGGCCCAGAACCAGCAGGTAAACTACTGCTGAGACCCAGACCCAGCAGGTAAACTACTGCTGAGGGCCAGAACCAGCAGGTAAACTGCTGAGGTCCAGAACCCGCAGGTAAACTACTGCTGAGGGCCAGAACCAGCAGGTAAACTACTGCTGAGGCCCAGAACCCGCAGGTAAACTACTGCTGAGGCCCAGAACCAGCAGGTAAACTACTGCTGAGACCAGAACCAGCAGGTAAACTACTGCTGAGGGCCAGAACCAGCAGGTAAACTACTGCTGAGACCCAGAACCCGCAGGTAAACTACTGCTGAGGCCCAGAACCAGCAGGTAAACTACTGCTGAGACCCAGACCCAGCAGGTAAACTACTGCTGAGGGCCAGAACCAGCAGGTAAACTACTGCTGAGGCCCAGAACCAGCAGGTAAACTACTGCTGAGACCCAGACCCAGCAGGTAAACTACTGCTGAGGGCCAGAACCAGCAGGTAAACTACTGCTGAGGCCCAGAACCCGCAGGTAAACTACTGCTGAGGGCCAGAACCAGCAGGTAAACTACTGCTGAGGCCCAGAACCCGCAGGTAAACTACTGCTGAGGCCCAGAACCAGCAGGTAAACTACTGCTGAGACCAGAACCAGCAGGTAAACTACTGCTGAGGGCCAGAACCAGCAGGTAAACTACTGCTGAGGCCCAGAACCCGCAGGTAAACTACTGCTGAGGCCCAGAACCAGCAGGTAAACTACTGCTGAGGCCCAGAACCAGCAGGTAAACTACTGCTGAGACCCAGACCCAGCAGGTAAACTACTGCTGAGGGCCAGAACCAGCAGGTAAACTACTGCTGAGGCCCAGAACCCGCAGGTAAACTACTGCTGAGGCCCAGAACCAGCAGGTAAACTACTGCTGAGGCCCAGAACCCGCAGGTAAACTACTGCTGAGGCCCAGAACCAGCAGGTAAACTACTGCTGAGGCCCAGAACCAGCAGGTAAACTACTGCTGAGGCCCAGAACCAGCAGGTAAACTACTGCTGAGGCCCAGAACCCGCAGGTAAACTACTGCTGAGGCCCAGAACCCGCAGGTAAACTACTGCTGAGGCCCAGAACCAGCAGGTAAACTACTGCTGAGGCCCAGAACCAGCAGGTAAACTACTGCTGAGGCCCAGACCCAGCAGGTAAACTACTGCTGAGGCCCAGAACCCGCAGGTAAACTACTGCTGAGGCCCAGAACCCGCAGATAAACTACTGCTGAGGCCCAGAACCAGCAGGTAAACTACTGCTGAGGCCCAGAACCAGCAGGTAAACTACTGCTGAGGCCCAGAACCAGCAGGTAAACTACTGCTGAGACCCAGAACCAGCAGGTAAACTACTGCTGAGGCCCAGAACCAGCAGGTAAACTACTGCTGAGAGACCCAGAACCAGCAGGGTAAACTACTGCTGAGGCCCAGAACCAGCAGGTAAACTACTGCTGAGGCCCAGACCCAGCAGGTAAACTACTGCTGAGACCCAGAACCAGCAGGTAAACTACTGCTGAGGCCCAGAACCAGCAGGTAAACTACTGCTGAGACCCAGAACCAGCAGGTAAACTACTGCTGAGGCCCAGAACCAGCAGGTAAACTACTGCTGAGACCAGAACCAGCAGGTAAACTACTGCTGAGGCCCAGAACCAGCAGGTAAACTACTGCTGAGGCCCAGAACCCGCAGGTAAACTACTGCTGAGGCCCAGAACCAGCAGGTAAACTACTGCTGAGGGCCAGAACCAGCAGGTAAACTACTGCTGAGGCCCAGAACCAGCAGGTAAACTACTGCTGAGACCAGAACCAGCAGGTAAACTACTGCTGAGGCCCAGAACCAGCAGGTAAACTACTGCTGAGGCCCAGAACCCGCAGGTAAACTACTGCTGAGGCCCAGAACCAGCAGGTAAACTACTGTACAGATGTGTATATTGTACTTTAGCAGCGGAGAATATGAGCAAAATAAACATCAGTATAATAACAGCAGGTGAAGTGACTAGTGATTGGCAGAAGTATCAGATGGATATGTAATAATGTAATAATAATAACAAAGGGGTAAAGTGACTATTGACTAAGTTACTAGTGAATTATTATCAGTGATAGTTATTGTTATACATCCTCGTTGTAGGAAGGAGAAATGAGTCCATATACAGTCCATAACCCAAACCATGTTATCTCTCCGTGCAGTTGAAAGAAGTGCAGCAGAAAGCCAAAGAGATGGAGCAAAGAGTGTCGTGGTTAGAGAAGAGCCTGGAGGAAGGACAACAGCTGCTGAGAGAGAAGTACGTTCAGATCCAGCAGCAGAACAGACGAGAGAGCGAACTCATGGCCTCTGTCCACAGGTGAGAGACATCATCTTTACAATATCTTAGGACCGCAGTTAGTTGAATGGCATTCAAAAAGCAAGGTTAGCATTAGCATTCTAGCATCTCGCCTTCTGAGTGGTTTGTACAGTGGTCCCTCGTGCATTGTAGGAATAAGTGAAATCCTTGAAGTAGCAGCTGTATGTTTTAAGGCTGTAAAACCCTCACACACATTATACACTTTTCTAACCACCTGAACTGCTGCTGCAGCTGTCAAAAGCTGAGCGTACACTGTAAAGTACAGCTGCAGAGAACACAGGAATGAGGGCTATGGTAGGACCAGAGAGAGACCAGAGGGAGACCAGAGAGAGACCAGAGAGAGACCAGAGAGAGACCAGAGAGAGACCAGAGAGAGACCAGAGAGAGACCAGAGAGAGACCAGAGAGAGACCAGAGAGAGACCAGAGTGAGACCAGAGAGAGACCAGAGAGAGACAAGAGAGAGACCAGAGAGAGACCAGAGGGAGACCAGAGAGAGACCAGAGAGAGACAAGAGAGAGACAAGAGAGAGACAAGAGAGAGACAGAGAGAGACCAGAGAGAGACCAGAGAGAGACCAGAGAGAGACCAGAGAGAGACAAGAGAGAGACCAGAGAGAGACAGAGAGAGACCAGAGAGAGACAAGAGAGAGACCAGAGAGAGACCAGAGAGAGACCTGAGAGAGAGAGAGACCAGAGAGAGACCAGAGAGAGACCAGAGAGAGACAAGAGAGAGACCAGAGAGAGACAAGAGAGAGACCAGAGAGAGACCAGAGAGAGACCAGAGAGAGACCAGAGAGACCCAGAGAGAGACCAGAGAGAGGCCAGAGAGAGACCAGAGAGAGACAAGAGAGAGACCAGAGAGAGACCAGAGAGAGACCAGAGAGAGACCAGAGAGAGACCAGAGAGAGACCAGAGAGACCAGAGAGAGACCAGAGGGAGACCAGAGAGAGACCAGAGAGAGACAAGAGGGAGATCAGAGCGAGACAAGAGAGACCAGAGAAAGACCAGAGAGAGACCAGAGAGACCAGAGAAAGACCTGAGAAAGAGATTGTGAACTAATCACTAGCCACAAAAAACGACTAAATGTAACCGTGTATAAACTGTAGTTGTTCCTCTGCTGATGAGAGTGCTAACCACTCAGCCACCGTGCCGCGCCATAGCTGTTCCTCTGTTGATGGTGTTGTTGTGGTCAGTCTGCAGCAGCAGGTGAGGACGTGTCTAGAGGACGCCGCTCGACGACCTGTGAGTGACCTGCGGGAACTACAGACCGAGAAGACCGAGCTGTTAGAGCAGCAGGACTGCAGCAGCAAGGCAAGGACACACACACACATGCACACACAAACACACACCTATACATACACATACACACACACACACACACACATGCACACATATACATACACATACACACGCCTATACATACACACACACAAACACATGCACACCTATACATACACACACACACACCTATACATACACTCACATACATACACACACACACACACACGCACACACACACACACACCTATACATACACATACATACATACACACACCATCTGAAACTTCAGACTTCAGTTTTTACTGAAGTTAAACCGATGTTTTGTCTGATTTCCATAAACAACAATATTTGTGGAAAGTTCTGTCACGGCTGAGTTTGTTTATTCCCTAAAGGTGACCGGTGAACAGAAGCAGCTGCTGGAGAAGATGTCAGAACAGCTGATGGTACGAACCTCCTGTTTAGTGTAGTTGCCTCTGTGCCCTGTTGATGGTCCCTCTGTGACTATATGTACTGTACCTGTGCTCTCCACTTGTTGCTGGTCCATTGTGTTTGCTTGTCAATATCTGTCCACGTCTCTCCTGTTCCTGGTTCTTTTTAGATTCTTGAGATTTTTTTTCCTCTGGACTTATATTTATCATTATTGAAGAATAATTTTAGATAAAGGTCAGAGAGAGACCAGAGAGAGAGACTATAGGGAAAGACCAGAGAGAAACCCCACTTTGCCCAAAGCCCCCACTGAAAGATCAAGGCTGTGCTCACACTCAGTGAGCAGCCGTCCTCCTGTGGACTCACCACCTGCAGAGGGTCAGTGAGGGGCTGGGGCTATGAGACTTGGGTGGCATCTCTGACTGCCACCCCCCTGACCCAGAAATGGATTAAAGGGTAGAAAATGGATGGATGGACAGAGAGAGACCAGAGAGAGAGACTATAGGGAAAGACCAGAGAGAGAAACCAGAGAGAGACTATAGGGAAAGACCAGAGAGAGACAAGAGATATAGAAAGAGAGAGACCAGAGAGAGACTAGAGAGAGACCAGAGAGAGACCAGAGAGAGGCCAGAGAGAGAGAAAGAGAGAGACTAGAGAGAGACCAGAGAGAGACTAGAGAGAGACCAGAGAGAGACTAGAGAGAGACCAGAGAGAGACCAGAGAGAGGCCAGAGAGAGACCAGAGAGAGACAAGAGATAGAGAAAGAGAGAGACCAGAGAGAAAGACTATAGGAAAAGACCAGAGAGAGACTAGAGAGAGACCAGAGAGACACTAGAGAGAGAGACCAGAGAAACCCCAGAGAGAGAGACTATAGGGAAAGACCAGAGAGAGAGAAAGAGAGAGATCAGAGAGAGAGACTATAGGGAAAGACCAGAGAGAGACTAGAGAGAGAGACCAGAGAGACACTAGAGAGAGAGACCAGAGAGACACTAGAGAGAGAGACCAGAGAAACCCCAGAGAGAGAGACTATAGGGAAAGACCAGAGAGAGAGAAAGAGAGAGGCCAGAGAGAGACCAGAGAAACCCCAGAGAGAGAGGCTGAATGTGTCTGTGTTCTGCCACCTCTGACTTCATCTCTGTGTGAAGTCTGTCTTGATCTTGTCTGTGTGACCTGCAGCAGAGAGAAGAGGAGTGTCCAGCTTCGTCCCCGTGGCCTGAAGTGGGCGCTCTTCTCCGGGACATGTGTGTGTGTGTGAGGGACCTGCAGAACCTGGGCACCGTGCTGAGGCAGAGATCACAGGGACAGGAGCCCAACCTCTCTGTGCTGCTGGGAATCAAGAGTACGTCTCTCTCTCGTTCACATCTGGGAATCACTCATTATTTAGAAATGATTTAGATTCTTAACAAACTGCCAATTATCTTGTTGCTCCCTCTATCTCTCTCTCTCTCTCTGTCTCACTCTCTGTCTTCATCTCGGTTCTCTCTGTCGTCTCTTTGTCCTCATCTCGGTTCTCTCCGTCCTCTCTCTGTCTCTCTCTCTCTCTCTGTCCTCCTTTCTGTCCTCTGTCTCTCTCTCTGTCCTCCTCTCTGTCTCTCTCTCCCTGTCCCTCTCTCTCTGTTCTCCTCTCTGTCTCTCTCTGTCCTCTCTCTGTCCTCTCTCTCTCTCTCTGTCCTCCTCTCTGTCTCTCTCTCTCTCTGTCTTCCTCTCAGCCCTGGGTCTGTCTGTGGAGGAGAGCGAGCCCTCGGAGCCAGAGCAGGAGCTGAAGCTGCAGGAGGTGACCCAGCTGAGGAGGGACATCGAGGAGCTGAGGAGGAGCATGGCCCCCCCCTCGGCCCTGCACTAACCCCCCAGTGTGGACTCTGCAACCTCCCCCCCCCCTCGGTCCTGCACTGACCCCTGACTGTGGTGTAGCAGAATATAAACATGTATCTGTCTCTGCAGAGCTCTCCCTGGATCTGAGAATGTGTCTATTTTTATGTTATTTAATTGTTTATTTGGCTGCGACATGAATCAACATTTGTCCTTGTAAATAACCCAGATTTAGCCATAAAAGCAAATATCCATAATAAATAATAAATCCTGTTTGACCACAATTTCAACTATATGACATTGACCACATAATAATCCCTCAATAATACGGTTTTCACTTATCGTAGAATAACAAATGCATTTTACTCTGCATATAATAAACTTCATGAACACATCAGCTCATAAACAATATCGTGGAATGGAATTGTTTTGTTAAAAAAGTGATATTTGGTGAGAATCTGACAGAGGGGAAAAGAATGATTCGTTTGCTCTCACACTGCGTCCAACGATCTACCTTTGAAACTAACCTTTTTCTCTTTGCCTAAACGCTGCCAATTGTCCTGACAGAGAAATAATATAAACTTCTAAAATAAAGTCTGTGTCAGTGTCTTATTTACACAAATTCACCACTATCTTCCTATATTTACACTTTCCCACTAGTATAAATTGCTATATTTATTACAGCAATTTTTTCCCCACAATTTAAAACTTTGTAAGATGCCAAGATTGAAATCCAAAGGAAAAAGTAAAAAACTATATTTGCACAAACACATAAAGTCCAGTAGATGGCGCTGTCAGACCTTATTAGAGCCACACAGTCTACTTACCCCTTTGCTTTAGTCATTCAGCTTATGTTTTGTGATGACTCTTCACAGACAGAAGTAAGCAGGAAGCATTCTGGGTAAATCATTCATACTTTCTATTTACATTTTTGACGGCGATATATTCAGATTGCGTTTTTTCTCCTCGGATGATCCTGGGAGCTATGCTGTCTGGGGCTTCATGCCCCTGGTAGGGTCTCCCATGGCAGACAGGTCTCAGGTGACGAGTCAGACGAAGAGCAGTCTGAAGCCAACATGGACAGCACAAATATGAGAACAGTGACGTCGCCCGGCATGGCACAGCCGGGGCCCCACCCTGGAGCCCGGCCTGGGGTTGGGGCTCGTATGCGAGCGCCTGGTGGCCAGTGGGCAGTCCCTCCTGTGGGCCCACCACCCGCAGAGGGGTCCGTGGTGGCGAAACGGTGCTGAGAGGACTGGGCAGCGGTCGAAGGCAGAGACCTCGGCGACCCAGTCCGCACAAGCAACATCTGGGTTAGGGTTAGGGTAGGGTCACTGGGGGGGAAGGAGGAGACTAGAGATAGTCTCCACACACAACTTGGGCTCTGGAACCAAACTCCTTGAGAGGGGTTGGACGCTCCACTTTTCTGGTGTTTCCCGGGGGGAGAGGCGGCGAGCTGGGGTGGCCATACTCATTGCCCCCCATCTCAGCCGCCACGTGTTGGAGTTCTCCCCAGTGAATGAGAGGGTCGCGTCCCTCCACCTTTGGGTGGGGGTCAAGTCTCTCACTGTTGTGACGGCCTACGGGCCTAACAGCAGTGCAGAGTACTCTGCCTTCTTGGAGTCCTTGGGAGGGGTACTGGACAGTGCACCGACCGGGGACTCGGTTATTCTCCTAGGGGACTTCAACGCCCATGTGGGAAATGCCAGTGACACTTGGAGAGGGGTGATCGGGAAGAACGGCCCCCCTGATCTGAACCCGAGCGGTGTTCAGTTGTTGGACTTCTGTGGCAGTCACAGTTTGTCCATCACAAACACCATGTTCGAGCACCAGGGTGTCCACCAGTGCACGTGGCACCAGGACACCCTAGGCCGGAGGATGATGATCAACTTTGTTGTCGTATCATCTGACCTTCGGCCGCGTGTCTCGGACACTCGGGTGAAGAGAGGGGCGGAGCTGTCAACCGATCACCACCTGGTCGTGAGTTGGATCCGCTGGCAGGGGAGGAAGCCGGTAAGACCTGGCAGACCCAAGCGTGTAGTGAGAGTCTGCTGGGAACGGCTCGCTGAGCCCCCTGTCAGACGGACTTTCAACTCACACCTCCGGGAGAGCTTCTCCCAGGTCCCGGCGGAGGAGGGGGATATTGAGTCTGAGTGGACCATGTTCTCTTCCTCTATCGCTGATGCGGCGGTCGGTGACTGTGGTTGTAAGGTCTCTGGTGCTGGTCCCGGCGGCAACCCCCGAACCCGGTGGTGGACACCGGCAGTAAGGGATGTCGTCAGGCACAAGGGTGTCCACCAGTGCACGTGACACCAGGACACCCTAGGCCGGAGGTCGATGATCGACTTTGTTGTCGTATCATCTGACCTTCGGCCACGTGCACTGGTGGACACCCTTGTGAAGGAGTCCTATCGAGCCATGATGGTTCATGGGACTCCTGAGGCAGCTGTCCAGTATTGGCTGGCCAAGCGTGCCGCGGCCACCCGGGACTGGGAGGAGTTTGGAGAGTCCATGGAGCATGACTATCGGTCGGCCTCGAAGAGATTCTGGCAAACCGTCCGGCGCCTCAGGAGGGGGAAGCAGTGCTTTGCCAACACCGTGTATGGTGCGGGTGGAGAGCTGCTGACCTCGACTGGGGATATTGTCGGGCGGTGGAAGGAATACTTTGAGGTTCTCCTCAATCCCCCCGTCACGTCCTCCGCCTCGGAGGCAGAGGCTGAGGATGTTGGGGCGGATACTTCCATCTCCCTGGCGGAGGTCACCAAGGTGGTTGGCAGCCTCCATGGTGGCAAGGTGCCGGGAGTGGATGAGATCCGTCCTGACTATCTAAAGTCTCTGGATGTTGTGGGACCAACCCCCGATCGCCACGTGATGTTGCAGAGACGTGTCAGCCAAGACAGGCTGACACGGGATCGGAGGGTGTGTTCCAATTATCGTGGAATCACACTCCTCAGCCTCCCTGGTAAGGTTTACTCCAAGGTACTGGAGAGGAGACGGTCGAATCTCGGATTCAGGAGGAGCAGTGTGGTTTTCGTCCCGGTCGCGGAACACTGGACCAGCTCTACACTCTCCATCGGATACTCGAGGGTTCATGGGAGTTCGCCCAACCTGTCCACATGTTCTTTGTGGATTTGGAGAAGGCGTTCGACCGTGTTCCCCGGGGTGTCCTTTGGGGGGTTCTCCGGGAGTATGGGGTCCGGGGTCCTCTGCTGAGGGCCGTTCGGTCCCTGTATGACCGGAGCCAGAGCTGTGTTCGCATTGCCGGCAGTAAGTCAGACCTGTTCCCGGTGCATGTTGGCCTCCGCCAGGGCTGCCCTTTGTCACCGGTTCTATTCACTGTATTCATGGACAGAATTTCTAGGCGCAGCCAGGGGCCGGACGGGGTCCGGTTCGGCGACCACAGGATTTCATCTCTGCTGTTTGCGGACGATGTTGTCCTGTTGGCTCCAACGAGCCACGATCTGCAACATGCACTGGGACGGTTTGCAGCCGAGTGTGAAGCCGCTGGGATGAGAATCAGCACCTCCAAATCTGAGGCCATGGTGCTCGACCGGAAAAAGGTGCTTTGCCCTCTGCAGGTGGGTGGAGAGGTCCTTCCTCAAGTGGAGGAGTTCAAGTATCTCGGGGTCTTGTTCACGAGGGAGGTAAGGATGGCAGGCGGATTGTGGCAGCGTGCGCAGTGATGCGGTCGCTGTATCGGACCGTTGTGGTGAAGAGGGAGCTGAGCCGAAAGGCAAAGCTCTCAATTTACCGGTCAATCTTCGTTCCCTCCCTCACCTATGGTCATGAGCTTTGGGTAATGACCGAAAGAACGAGATTGCAGATACAAGCGGTTGAAATGAGCTTCCTCCGCAGAGTGGCTGGGCGCTCCCTTAGAGATAGGGAGATAGTGTTGTTGGTAGTTTCCCCATTGGGCCTCCTCCTGTTAGCATTTACAATCGCTGGGACGCTCTGTCCGGCTGCGCCCCCGCGCGGCCGGGCGGGGAAGAAGGCCCCACTGAGAGAGCCGCTGAGAGAGCTGCTGAGAGAGCTGCTGAGAGAGCCGATGGAGTCGCTGATGCGCTGGTAATTGGCTCCTCTATTGTTAGAGGTGTTAAGATCCCAGGAGCCACTGTTCGGTGCTTCCCTGGGGCCAGGCTTGGTGATATTGAAGGGAATCTGAGGCTCATGATGACCCACAAGCAGCGTTTCCGTCGAATTGTTATTCACGCGGGTGGTAATGACGTTCGGCGGAAACAGTCCGAGGTGTTGAAGCTGCAAGTCGCCGCCGTGTGCAAGCTGGCTAGCACAATGGCCGACACTGTCATCTTCTCTGGGCCCCTACCTAGCACTAGCAGTGCAGAAGCATTCAGCAGACACTCGGCTTTCAACCGCTGGCTGTCTGGCTGGTGCCCTCGAAGTGGTTTTGTTCATGTTGACAATTGGAGTGCCTTTTGGGGAAAGCCCGGTCTCATCCGCTCGGATGATATCCACCCAACGTTGGCGGGTACATCCCTTTTGGCTAAGAATTTGGCCCTGGCTCTAAACTGTTCTGCTCGGCTCAAATGACGATGCAGAACTGAGGCCCGGGTGCAGAGCTGCTCTGCCACAACCTCTGAGCCCCCATCTGTTCAGTTACTAGCCTCAGAGGCTAGTCAGATTGAAACTGTGTGTGCATCTGTGTGTGTGCCTGTGTGTGCTCAGTTACTAGCCTCAGAACCTAGTCAGATTGAAACTGTGTGTGTTCCCCGCTTGAAGTCTAAAGCACTATATGCGAGGAAATCTGACCTAGGTGTCAGACACAGTAACTTAATAAAAGTTCAGACAGACAGAAATAGTTCTAGCGGTAGGGTTGTTAAATGTGGTTTAATGAACGTCAGATCAATCTCGTCTAAATCGCTTCTCATAAACGAACTTATTATAGACAAGGGCTTGGATCTGTTTGCGCTCTCGGAGACTTGGCTCCAACAGGACGAGTACGTTAGATTGAATGAGTGCACTCCTCCGACGCATGTTAACTACCAGAAAGCCAGAGCTACAGGTCGCGGCGGTGGT